ACTTAAGAATTTTTTTTTTTTCTGGTGTTGTAGTAGAAATAGCTTTGAAGAAGAGTAACTTTCCTCCAGACACTGTTTATTTGAGGAACTTTCATAATAGAGATGTCACAACGTGATTAAGATACATAGCATAATACTGGAACCATCCACATAACCAACTGTAATAACTTAAGAGTTGTTTTTTTTTTTCTGGTGCTGTAGTAGAAATAGCTTTGAAGAATAGTAACTTTCCTCCAGACGCTGTTTATTTGAGGAACTTTCATGTGTTTACAAAATACTTGTAATAGCCGTTTTGTAAAGTTCCTTAACTTTCTGCACATTCTGTCAGAATCACTTTGGCTGGCCTAGGACAAAGGTAGATGAAATACTTTCACCTGTGATAAAACAGCTGAACTTGCAGCAGGTAAAGTATAAAATTATGTATAGTTTAAGTGTAACTGGAAATTTGTAAGAGAAGCATTTTAAAATGAACAGCAAGGCTTTAATCTAAAACACATTTCTCAGAAACTGTGATTTGGCCATATTTTGTTATCTAAATATATATTTAAAAGTCACTAAACTTACTTCTCTAGACTTCATTTCTGTGTGATGTGGGTATGCTGAATTATGTCTGCATAATTCAAATTGTTGGTTTCTAGTTTTGTTATCTATCAAGCACCTACCTCAAGTCCAGGTTGCTGTTAGTTCTGGATGTAGCTGAAACTACAGGTACCTCAAGCACCTTCGGTGCTTTTTAAAAGACAGCGTGCTGTGCCTAAAAATGATTTATAGAAACGTCCCTGAGATTTTGCTGAAGTGAGACTGACCATTTAGTACCATCCCTTTCCGTTGAGGAGGAGTGCAGACTGAACCATTGGGCAAGTGCTCATTAATAATATTAACTCTAAATTCCAACTGAATGTTGAGTCAGCCTTAATAAAACTTAAAAGCGAATAGTGGTGTGTGATGTGATGCTGTGAAAGTCAGTTGTAAAACTGACCACCTGAGGTCAGATTCTTTTCTCCTTTTGCCCCAAGCAAGATAGATACGTAGTTCTACACCAACGTTCTAGGTTATCTCTGCCACTCAAAGGAGTGAAAGGTACCAAACCCTGTAGTTAAGTCCATATGCTTTCAGGTTGTCTGGAATATCCTTTGGAAGTGTCTGTCTCTCCTGAACAGTTTTAGGGAGAATATAGAGGACTAGCTCAGTCTATACAGCAAGCCTAGCTGGGGTTGATTAACACAGACCCATTTTCTGTGACTACTTCTACTCTTAAATCTGGATACTGTAGCAGCGTGTCCTACAATGAACTTGAGTCAAGAGACGGCGTTTTGTTACAGTAGCATATGCAAATGTAAAGTGCACTTGGAACATTTGCTTAGTAAACATTCTGTTGTTTTAACAGCTTGAAGCTAAGGATGTGTTTGTAAGGACATGCTTAAGGGCACTACAGAGATTTTCTGTATTAGGGTTGAAAATAGCAACATATGTCTAATCATCATCAGCGCAATGTTTATAAAATTTCACTGGAATTCGCTTGCTATTTAGTTTCTGTAAGGGTTCTTGTTGCATAATTTATAATAAAGTATAGGTATTACTATAATCATCTTATTGTTCACGTGCATTTGCATGCATATTAATTTCATTAGTCCTTTGTCCTGCTTTGCTTTGGGATGCTTTATAGTACAGCTGAGATAACAACTGAATTCCCCTCACACAAACATCCAGAGGTGTTTTCTCTGTTTTATTTTTGATAGACTCAGCTTCGGATTGATTCATTCTTCAGACTAGAGCAGCACGAAAAACAAGCCATTAAAAGTCAAAGACTGCGCAGAGCCGTGACTTGTCTGAAGAGAAAAGAACAAGAAGAAGCCGATGAAATTCGGGAAGCCACCGCTGTTATGGAGACTGACCTTAAACAGCACGAGCAAAGGAAAAGGGGAAGCACTGCAGGCTGGGAAAATAGTCATGCTGGGGCAACAGAAGTCCAAAGTGGAAAGAGAAGAAAACATTCAGATTCCAGAAAAGAACATTTGTATGGAGGTGGTTTTATCGGAAGTTTGTGTCTTTCAGAAACTTCTGGTGACTCCTCAGTAGAGGAATTGGAAAGCGGAGATTTAGGCAAGAGCAAAAAGAGGAAAAATGTCTCTGCAATGGAGACAGCAGACTTGAAAGGGAAAAAAGGGTGCAGTAGCTCAAGCGGTGAGGATGAAGAACTGGGAAACGTAGTCATGGTGACTGCCAAACCTGTGTTTGAGGGCAGAAAAAAGAAATCACAGAGTAAGAGAGGAAGAAAAAAGAATAAATCTTAAAGAAAAAAAAAAAAGTCTTAAAGAGAGACTGTGTGTGTGCAGGTCTTATGATTTAAGCTTGTAACTATTCTAATGAATTTTTGATAAAAAAAAAATAAATTATCCATATTTGTCAAGTATTTGTCGTGCATTTTGTGTCCAGAACTTAAATAGGAGGGATTTTAACCAATGAAAAAAATAATTGTAGCACATTTACTCAAGTAGACATAGATTGGACTTGATACAAGTTAAAAAAAAATAAATTATCCATATTTGTCAAGTATTTGTCGTGCATTTTGTGTCCAGAACTTAAATAGGAGGGATTTTAACCAATGAAAAAAAATAATTGTAGCATTTACTCAAGTAGAAGTAGATTGGACTTGATACAAGCTCTCTGTTTTGAAATTTTAAAATTGAGCCAAAATGTGATGTCTGTTCAATTAGTTCACTTCATGCTATTTTCCTTGTTTGCTTCGCTATGCCTGTCTTGAAAGTTTTGTTGATTATTGAACCATTCATGAGGCAGTGTAAGCCCTCAAAATCTCATGGAAAATCAAAAAGCACAGTAAGTCCTTGTATAATCTGAGGTGCCGTAATTGTTTATGTTCTGAATGTAAATATCAGGTGTTCTCTGTTTTGAAATTTTAAAATTGAGCCAAAATGTGATGTCTGTTCAATTAGTTCACTTCATGCTATTTTCCTTGTTTGCTTCGCTATGCCTGTCTTGAAAGTTTTGTTGATTATTGAACCATTCATGAGGCAGTGTAAGCCCTCAAAATCTCATGGAAAATCAAAAAGCACAGTAAGTCCTTGTATAATCTGAGGTGCCGTAATTGTTTATGTTCTGAATGTAAATATCAGGTTTCTGGACTTGGAGTTACATGTTACATGACCATGTCCAGAGGATTTGTCTGCAAAAGTGATGTTCAGAGACGCCCACTGGTTGAAGCGCTTCTGTTGGATTAATTTGGGAGAGAAACAATTAGGCTCACTCTTCCCCTCTCCCATCTCACCTGTCGCTCTGAATGATTGTAGAATTTATCTATAGCTCCTATGGATTAAGATGGAAAAGCACTGAATGCTGCCCAGTTGTACTTGCGTTCTTACCTTTTAGTCCTCTTTCTTGCTTCTTTTGTCTTCTCATTTAATATTTCTACTTAACTTTTCGTTGTTTCAAAGTCCAAGTCCATACAACTCAGTTTTGTATGAAACATTGGCCTCCCCTAGCAGGATGAAGGGCTGAGGTGTACTGGGTAGGGTTTAGCTCTTACAGTTGCAGAGTCTAATACTTCATGTACAGTGTTCACTAGGCAGAAACTATCACTTTTGATACTAATTTTGTAAAAAATTATCGTATTTTAAGAAAATTTTCAGCCTGTGCAGCCAGTTTACAGCAGCGTTTTGTAAATCATTCATTAGTATTACTGAATTTTGCTTTAGAAGTGTAGATTGGGTCTCGGTGATTTGTTTGATAGTTTCTAAATGTAGCAGAGCTCCTATTAATGTCTTCTGCCAAGTCTGGTGAAGCAGAGACCTCCAGTTCTCTCTCAGGCTTGTTTAGTGTTCTTGGACAGAAATTAATTATTTTTCAATGGCACCTAGAAACCCCAGTCTAGTCTAATTTTGCTAAAAACCGTGTAAAGTAAGAGACGGTTCCTGTCCTGAATTGATTACAATTGAAATAAGAGAAGCCTTAAAGATAATGGTGTTTGTTCCCATGACAGGAAGTACAACTACCTGAAAGGAGGCTGTAGAGAGGTGGGGGTCGGTCTCTTCTACCAAGTCACAGGACAAGAGGAAATGGCCTCATGTTGCTCCTGGGGAGGTTCAGGCTGGATATTAGGAAACATTTTTACACCAAAAGGGTTATTAAGCATTGGAACGGGCTGCCCAGGGAAGTGGCTGAGGCACCATCCCTGGAGGTGTTCAGAAGGCAGGTTGGCATAGTGCTTAGTGACATGGTTTAGTGATGGTTTTTTTTTGGTTTTGTCGCAGTTAGGTTGATGGAAGGGACCTTTAAGATCATCTAGTCCAACCAACCTAGACAATTCTGTGATTCTATGTGATCTCTTGAGCAAATGCACTTCTCGTGCACAAAAGAGGAGTGGTAGGTGTATATTTATGCATGTTGACAGTTGTCTTAATGAATATTTGGCTATAAAATGGGCTAGGATTTGGGGGTTGTGTACCTTGTTACAGCTCTGCATTCCAGCGTGAGCATGTGTTTATATACCCCTGCCACAAATGCGCCCCTGCCCCTTTTCAAATTGCCCTCTGAGCCTTTGACTTTGAAGAATGATATTTAGCTTTTCGGTTACTCTTTACTCTGAGGGTGGTGAGACACCGGAACAGGTTGCCCAGAGAAGCTGTGGATGCCCCATCCCTGGAGGTGTTCAAGGCCAGGCTGGATGGGGCTTTGAGCAACCTGCTCTAGTGGGAGGTGTCCCTGCCCATGGCAGGGGGGTTGGAACTCAATGATCTTTGAGGGCACTTCCAACCCAAACCATTTTATGATTTAGTGGTTACCAACGCTGGGCCACTATCTTATTTTTGTAAAAAAAAAAAAAAAAAAAAAATAGAAATACTCCAAAGTTGGTTACTTTGTAGGTTGGAGCTCCATTGACAGGGTGTTATGAAATCTGTGCTCCCTTACGTAAGGGACACGGGCGCGTGGTGCCCGGGCTGCGCTCCTGCCGCAGCTGTCGGGATTTATGAGTTACTGCTGCTGGAGTGGGGATGTTGGCAGCGTGTGACACCACTTCGGAGCGCACTCCTGCCCCGGGGCTGCCCAGGAGGGAAACGGCCGGGCAGATAAGGACTTCTCTGTTGGAGTCCCATCTTTGGAAAGCGTGGAGAGATTCAGGTAATGTGGGCTGAAACGCAGCGGATGCCAGTGTCTGTGTCTTTAAATTACTTAGCGTCATTTAGTTTAAGCAGCATAATTCAGCAACTGAGTTGTCCTGCGCTGTTTAGCTGCGTGTAAGACTCCTGAATTCATGTCTTTAAAATCAGAGGGGTTGCTGTGTAGTTCAGTGTCCCTCAAAGGCTGCTTTTAGAAAGAAAAAAAAAAAAGAAAGTAGAGGACCACGAAATACAAAAATCCTTTTTAGGATGATCTTTGTAGTGCAACGTTGCTTGTCCTTCAGAATGCAAAAGGACTCATTATTAACTCTTTTTTTTTTTTTTTGTGTCTTTTAATGGGAAAGAAAATTTGTCTTTTATTATGCTTCTGAGGTAGCTGACAAGCTGATGGATGTGTGTAACATTTACTGCCTAATGTCCCGGTAGTTTCCTATGCTACTTGTTATTCTGAAGATGCACACAAAGACTTTGAATCCCGTTGGATCTCTCTTCTGTTCCCCACATGAAGATGTTAACTATTGCAAAGTTCATAGATAGACATGAATATAATAGCGGTACTTTTGCTCTAGAAGAGTTACAGTGACGTCTAGAAGCCCCCTAAGTTATGTTTCACCTTCAAAGAGGTTAATGGCTGCTGGCACTGTGATGATAAGGTTGAACATTAAACCTGTATGCTTTTTCTAGGGTGAAGTCAAGAGAGTATGGTGCATCCTCTCTAACAAGGCAGGGCTGTTCTGTGCTGTCCTTTTTCATCTGAAGTCTCGAGGGGAAAACCTGTCGAAGGCTGCACTGTGAGGAAGTTTTCTTGGTATTCAGAATTTTTACTCTGGTTTTTTTAGTCTAGGTTTTTTTTTTTTTGTAACAGGTAGTGATACTCCTTCACCCACTGCCTTATTTAATTGCATCCCTACTGGGTGTTTGGATGTCTGTAGATTATTAACTGTATGCTGCTTGTAAGCATTCCTGCAAAAAATAGTCAAATTTCCATATAAGAGTGTAAGAGCTTTAAAAATTATCAGAGCAGTGATTTGTTTTTTTCTGTGAACTTAGTGTTTTTCCGATTGTAAAATATGAAGAATTGGAGACAATGGGTTGTCTGCTTTTCTGCAGACAGCCAAAACCTGTATTTTTCTCTGTCATCCTTTTCCTACTACTTTTTTTCTCCTGAGTCTGCATGTTGTGTGTCTGTTTATATCGCCACATACATACTCTGTCCTGCATGTTATCTAGAGCTCCTGCTTCCTACTTATTCTCATGTGTAACTTTTTACTAATAGGTTGTTTCCTTCCCTTCCACACCAATTAATTCAAACAAGATTAGATCCCTTTGGTACAATTTTTCTTCTTTTTCAGACATTTGTTGCTACCATTCCTTTCAATCATTTATAAGCCTGCCAACCCTGATTTGAGTTTATTCTAATTTTAAAATGTCATGAAATAGTTTTAAATGTTTAGCAAAGCTTTTCTCTCTTTTTTTTTTCTTTTAAATCTGCTTGCTTTTTCCCCTCTGAGAGTAGAACAGTTGAACTAGTTTGCTGCTTCTGATTCTTTTATGCTTTGAATATTGATATTTAGGTGTCTACATGTCTTTATGATCAAGAGAAGTAAATTATAGCATAATAAATGTAAAAATAATTTAATTTGTTTTTTGGTGAGGTGTTATGTGAGGAAAAAGAAATAAAGTCATCTATTCAGGCAGGCTTGTGTTTCTCCCAGGTTTTGTGGTACAGTATGGATTTGACGTCACCACAACATAATCATCTACAAAACGAGCTGATAAGAGAATTGGAAAGACAAGAAGGTAAAACGTTTCTTATTTCTCTGTGTTTTCTTGTTGCACTTAGGAATATTGTTAAGCATGGCGAACATGGTGTCTTGCTGACAGCGGGCTGTCCTCTCATTCATTTTTTTTTTTTTCTGAAGAATTCTGTTTATGGCACTTGTACAGAAAATACAACAGATAGCGCTGTTGTAGTATTCTAGCTATGCAGTAAGTATCTGCTGTGCTGGCGTGCTCCGGTCCCGGCAGTTTCCTACCAGCTCCTGGCATCCTGCCTGCCACCGCTTCCAGGGAATGAAGCCGTGACTATGATCAAGCTATTCAGGAGAGGTTTGTTTGCGGGGCGTCAATTAGGGAGAATTGGTTATTACAAGCTTAGTTTCTGTCTAGACAGCCTCTAATCTAATTTTCAAATACCTTCAGGGGCTGTTGGCAGCTTTTTCTCCTAAGCAAGTTTGTGGCTGCACAGCTTTCAAGATTCTAAAGCCCCACGAGTAATCTCCTTTTTAGGGGTCATCAGGAGTAGACAAGGTTTCAGGGCAAGTGCGTGTGTTGTTTTGGGATGAGGTCTAGTTATGGTCTACAGCTGACGGTGAAAGAAGGAAGGGTTTTTTTATTATGATAATTTTCGTAATATTTTTCTTTAACATCTCAGCTGAGTCTTGGTCCATGCAGAGCCAGGATTTGGGGCTTCTGCTTTTTCAAGAGAGCTTGGCCCCTAGGTATGCTTTCCTACCTGTTCAGCGAGGCAAGGTGGAGCTTTGGGCGTGACTGCAATACTTTAATTACTGTGTATTATCTTGCCTTCAGATACTTTTTTTTAAAGTACCCCAAACTAATCACCTTCTTTGGAAAGCTGACATTGCACAAGAAGACGGCCGATAGGGGTTGGTGTAGATTGCTGTTCCACAAAGCACTGTTCAAATGCCTCAGCCTGGAGTTTTCCTTTAATGCAATTTCCTTTCCTATTGTGTCATTCTAATTTGAACAAAGAGCTCAAGTTGATCCTATGCAATGCAGTATGATTGTCAGGGGAAGAAATATCTAGGAGCATAAATATTAAAGGTAGAACTACTAAAAACTGAAATATTGATGACTGCAATTCTGTATTCTGTAGTGTACAAGAGCTGAGGTAAAGTTGCACAAGCATTTCTACGCTTCTGCAACCTTGGCTGTCTAATCTGGTTACTCTCTTCACACAGGATTCAGGGCGGGGAGCAGTGAGTCTTCATGTGATTTTTTTTTTTTTTTTTTTTTTTTTTTTAGCTTTTGAATTATGAAAAGAAATTGGCTTCTGGGACGTTAGGTCAATATATGACAAATTAGTCCATAGGGAAGAATCTTCAGATCAAACGCAGGAATATGTTCCAATTAGCTAACAGAGTAACTGCGTTGATACCAATAGCAGTGGTTCTCTTTCATGTCTAGAAACACTAGTTTAAGAGGATGAGGAAACACCAATGGAAAATGGGATATCTTTACAGTTTCATCTGATAGCAGTCTTTGGCATATTAAATTCCATGCCGGGTTCTGGAGGTGAAGGGTGCTGAACCTGCTGCAGGGAGACTTACCTGCTCAGTCATCCTGAGCTTGTGCCTTTCTTGTTCTCATCCTTTTCCTCTACCACCTTCCCCATTCCCCGTTCGTTAACTTCACTTACCCAGGCTCAATCTCTGTTTCTGAGGTTTCTTATTCCAGTTGACTTTCTCTGCAGTTTCCAGTCTGAGCTCTTTATATTTAGTGCCTTGCCCTTTCCTTCTTTACTGGCTTGTCACAAGTTCTCCAGCTTAAAACTCCTTGTTCTTGTTCATGATTCCCATTACTACTGGTTCTCAGCTTACAGGTAGGTTCTCACCCAGTCTCATCTTTCCTCTGGTGTCTTTATCCAATTGGTTCTCCATCACACCAGCATCATTAGATATCTCTTGTCTTTCTTCTCTTGATTTTTCTTGTTCATTAGCTCCAACTCTCCTTGGCTAAACTTTTCTGAGATCATATTCTGCCGCTCCCATCTTCATTTCTTGGGATACTAAGTTATTTTACCACAGTTTCATTATTTATATTCACTCCAGAATAATTTTATCTCAGAGACAAAAGGAGGAGAGCAAATTTGCAAGGCGTCCTTGTCCTTGACACTTCATCATCTCCCTTCACTTGGCCAGGGCTCAGTTTTTAATCCATAAATATCTGAGAAAATGCTGACCTAGTAACCTTCACATACCTCCTGGCATTTTAGAAGGGACACACTCCTTCTTCTTACCCTGCTTGACAGTTGTCCTAATTGATGGCAGTTCCTGCCATCATTTCAAGTCTCTGGGTAGAGTCCAGAAAGGTGCCTTAAGTGGGATATAGCTGGAATGGAGGCAAGTGAGACACAGCCTAACCCTGTAACTTAGAAGTTAAGATACCCAGCCTGGAAGAGGGAGTGACTTAGTCTTTCATTCCTATTTCATGGGTTACTTCTAAAGACGCTTCTTAACTTTCTCACTCCCTTCCCCACTGACACTTTTCTATTAACTTCAAAGACTTTGCTACAAAATCTGAGAAACATTCTGGGACAAGAGTGGGGAGCCCAAGCCTGCCGAATCACAATTGAGTTCCCAGTTCATAGATGGGTTTTTCCTTGCTTGCTGTCCTTCTAGCATGATTCTTGCAGTCCTGGTTCTCCTGATGGTCCAGCTCTGGTGGTGATGGAGGGGAGGGCAAGCACTGGAACACACCCCTTGAGTGAGCGAGTTGGAATTTGAATCCTTCTGAGGAAAGTCCAGCTCTCAGTTCCTCCACTTTCTGAGTGTTTAAAATGCTGAACTATTCTTTATATGTTGGACTTTGCAATTAGCAGTGCTGGTTATACTATTTATACTATATATAAATGACACTTTTACTGTATCTTCCCACTACCTGCCTTCCCTTCTTTCATCTTCCTCTTTTTTTTTGTCTCTTAGCTTTGAATTATGCTGCTATCTTTAAAAAAACAAAGGCAACCAAACAGGCTCTTATATCAATGCTTATCTCAAAAGCATTAACTCTCCGTCCCCTCAAACTCATGGAAGTCACACCATTAGTTACCTACATTTTTTTTTTTTCTTTGTTGCAGGATTGACCTGAAAGATCAGAACTCAGATTCTACCCCTCTTGTTAGGCAATAAGCTGTCTCCAAACAAAAAAAGAGTAAAAGAGGTAGTGTGGAATAAGACTTGACTATAACCCAATTTAGGAATGACTAGAGCTAAACTACACCTTCACAGCAAATCAAAATAGTCTAAAAATACCTTTTCTCTGAATGTAATTCTTGTCTATCTTATAGTAACTTATCTCTGATCCCTTTTTTTTGCAAGTGGCAGCATTCAAATAGTATAGTAAACATCAGTAAACGCTTCTCTTTTCCTTTTCGCCCAGCAAGTAGACCTGCTTTTGCTGGAGACACTACTAAACTCAAATGGAAACTTCTTGTGTATGGATAGAGCAGAAGTTTGAGGCAGCACTGAAATAACCAAAGCATGCATCTGTAACATATTCTTGCCTCCTGTGTCTTTCCTGTTTTCACATCTTTCCCCTTTGCAGTAGCTGCATTTCAACAATAAATTATATATTTCTCAACTGTCACACAAAAAAGGTGGTATGTTAGCACGGGTTGGTGTTGTTAGGTTCCTTTTAGGTCCTCTCCTCACAGAAATATTTTAGAAAAACAGAATTATTGGTAGGGGAAAATTGATAGGCATTTTGTTGAGTCCCTTCTGTTCCACTGGCTGTGGTACCTGGCGTGTTCTGGCACGTCATTACAAGGAAGTAAGAGCTTTCAGTGGGACAAAGCCCTCTTGACTGGGCAAGGTAAGAGATGTGAAAGATTAGACTAGACAATGGCTTACAGTGTCTAAATTACTCACCCAGAGTCTTCCCATGCATCAGGAAATTGGCTGTCAGCCTTTTATAATGTACATTAGACCATCTAATTTAAGAACACAGTCTGCTTTTGCAAAGGGAAATCATCTAGTCATTTTTAGGGATTAAATAGGTGCTGAGCCTAGACCTGAAGGTGTTCTCAATGACAAACAAACATGATGAAGTAACAAGGGAAATACTTGGCACATTTGAATTCATTATGTGGTCATCAGATAATCTGACTATGATACTTCTATTTTCAGCCTTCTAATGGTATTGGAAGACCCATGACTTGGATGGGGCTGGGATATCAGTGGTGTGAATTTCAAATTGAAAATGCACCTCTCAAACCAGTGTAAATACACAGACTGGATACTGTGAGCATACCCCTCTGCTGTTCTTGTCTCCTCATGCTCTGACCTAAGTGCATCTTGTCCCTTGGCTGAGAAGAAGCGGCTCGTGGGTGGCAGTTTTGTATTTCTGCATTTCAAAGTGTAAAGTTTCAAGCATTATATTACCCTGACGTTAATCAATATAATATACCTCGTCATTGCCATCACTTCAGCAGGTTGAGCTTGTAATGAATGTCCTGGAATGCCTGCCCTCTTTGTAGGTAGGGATGAATGAAGGGAAAATTAACTGGGTGGTTTAGGTAAGTATTGGAACAGTACTTTGTTTTATATTCTTAGAAAGGTGTAGGTTACATCTGACTTCTGGAAAGTTAAGGGCATGATTAGATTTCCCTCGTGATCCCTTTCTTTAAGGGTCCTCAGGCTGCAGTAGAATGACATAGAAATCAGTGGAACAAAATGAAGTGATACCACCTGGAAATTCAGGACTATTCTGTGATTCAGAATTGTGTATATTTCCATGGAGTCATCTGTAATGCTTGCAAGACCAGGGCTCTGACCCTGAGGTGTCAGTAACTCAGTAAAATTGTGAGACTCCAGAGTCCCTTAGAATTGGGACGTAATGTAGATTTGGGGTAAAATTCTTCTGAGCCATTGGAAATACCCAGATGGATTCACAGGGCTACGTTCTGATGATTCCCATCAGTGTAATAAAGTAAGCTCTCTTCAGTCATCTCTTACAGTTACAGAACTGGTTGCAGATCTGTTCCCTGTCCCCCTCTGTGCAGG